CAATGTCCCTAGAATCTCCACTTTATTCAGGAATTAATTCCAGATATCATCAATAAACATGGTGGCAATAAATTCATCAATCGTTTGCCACGGGAGAGGCGACGAGCCGGCCAGGTAGATTTGATTCTTGAACAAGGCGATCACTAGCGATTCTAATGGGAAGTAATAATTTTATTTGGGAGATTAAAAGAAGGTATCAAGAGAAATAAAAGATTAAACTAGTAAATATTTAGGAGAGATTTAGAGTTTTTAAATTTAAGTTTGTGTGGATTATATAAAATACCTTGTTGTCATTGGAGGAAGAAACAATATGACTTTTCTAAACGGGCTAAAACGAAAAAAAAAAAAAAAGTATATGTGTATACTTTATTTAAATGCCAAGTGCTTTAAGGTTTTTCTTCGTTTTTTTTTTTTTATAATAAAGCATGAAACTTTGCTTCAGTATAGATTTATCAGTAATGCTAATGCTCACAAAGTTTAAATCTAGCAAAACTCGCACTCTCTTTGTTCATTTTACTCGCACTCTCATGTGTCTGCGCTCTGACAAATCATGTCGTAATAAACTAATTGCCTAAAAGACATTATTTATTATTATTATTATTATTATTATTATTATTATTATTATTAGATGTTAAACCCGCGCAATACTTGGGGTTTATTCAAGTACATTTATGTTTTTTTTTTAAAAAATCATTACATGTAAAAAACAAATGAACTTATTTATATTTGTAACAACAAATATTTTATGAGTAAAAGTAAATTAGATCGTCATCATAAAGAAAAAAAAATAGCATATACTATACAATGATAATACTCCATAGATTGTACTGAAAAATGTAATAATGCAATAAATATAAGTAGTATACCTTGCACTAAAACTAAATAAAAGCCTCAATATAATAAATAGAAAGATTGCATGTCGACTTCGGACTTGCATAAGTCTTGTAATTTCTATTATTTTGTTATTTTTTTGTAATTGATGAAAATGTAGCTCATCCAGTTGAATTGACTACACAAACATGCATATATATGTTAAAAATACATAGTTATAGGATGGTTCTATAGTTCAACCCTCTTAACAAAACACCCGTGCAAATGAATACATATTCATAAGTATGCGAGTGAGGCTACCTTTGACGTAAGAGGCGCTTTTACATTGCATTGGACGTATTTTTTCATATAAAAGAAAAATAAATGGACGAATTTGAAGCCTGCAAATACTAACGGTGTTTTAGTAAAGACAAAAGGTGGTGTTTTGAGGAATTAGGGTGTTGAATAACAGGTTGGTGTGGATGGCATTTATACACGGGTGTTGATTAATGCAAGGTGATAAAATTGAAGTTAATTTCCCATAATGTAGGGATAAGGTTAATAAAATGCTAATGTGATAATGGGTACGTAGAATGTGATGATATGGTATGGATTTTTGTTTTATATATAAAAAAAAAAAAAAGTGCTAAGGTGATAATGCTTACAATTTCAAGAGATTTGATGATTTGATATATAATTATTGAGTTATGGTCATATCATGTCCAACAACATTTTAGTATTGCTTATATATTAAATTTTAAAATACATCAATGTATGTATTGATCTCAAATTTGTAATGAATGAAACATAATTATTTTAGGTCATTATGTTTCCCGATATTTTAGGGTAATAGTGACCATTTTGAACTTACAGTTTAAATCAATCAATTAATAATAATTGGGGATTATTTTTTAGAGGGATTAAATTTTTTTGGTCCCGTTTTTCATTTTAAACTAAGTAACTTTTATATGCTTATTGTTAAACTTATAATTATAGAAAATTTGAAGGACTTTAGTGTAATTGCACAAAGATATATTTGAGAAATGCATTAAAAAATTATCACATGGGATACAATTCTATCTGTCACTTTTAGAATTCTTTTTTAGTTTCTCTCTCTGATTTCTCTCTTAATATAATACTATAGAGTATTATTATTATTATTATTATTATTATTATTATTATTATTATTATTATTATTATAAATTGTAAAATGGAAGATAAGACATAATGAAATTCTACTCGACAGTGAAAACTTAAATTGCATAGAAAAACAAATAAAAAGGAGGGACTGTTTCCAATAACTAATGGTTAGATGATCTTCCTCCTGGAATTGATGTCTTCTTAGCTGCATGATGCCCACGTAGAAAAATTTGCACCTCTTAATTTACTCGCCAAAAGGCGATCTCCCATTAAAATGAGGAATTTTGATACCCATTGTGATATTCAGTATTTTTGTATTCCTTGTCAGAGGACAAATTTAAAATCTCTATAAGCAGAAACGGGATAATTAAGAGAATAATTGTGAATTTTGTGTGTTTATTATTCGAATTTTATAGTAAGGTTGTAATCTAATAATATAAGAAGAGCTCACATCCTAAATCAAATTAAATCTCAACATGAACTAGTGGATCAAATCAAATCTAACTAGTTTAGTAAAATCTTCTAAACTACACTAACAATCTATCACCGAGATAGTATGTAGTGACTTTACTATACGAAAAACTATCATCAGGACATCTAACAAAAGTATTCAGACGCATCTACAATCTTTGCTTAACAAAAGATCAATTTGGACACAAAATTGTGTCTGAATTCACCGGGGTGGTGCAAGAGACATTCTTTGTACATATATATGACTACAGATTTGCGCTTTAGATCTTCACTAGCTGCCATATTCGTACCACCCTAGAAAAATTTAATGGGAAGATGAAATACAAACCTAGTGATTCGCTAACACTGATGCAGTTTATATCGAGTAGGAGGAACTATACACACAACAGTTTCATGGCAAGTAATGTGGATTAACTACTGAGTTAAAATTAATCATTTACATAGCATTTATTTATTTCCTTCAATGGTAGGAAAACAAGAGTTAAAAAAAGTATTTCGGTGATTTAACCTATAGACACATGGGAAAAAGTTAGGCCAACAAAATAGATATGATTTTATTAACAAGTACTCCTTTGGGTCCTAATTATAAGACATTTTTACTTTTTTTTGAATTGAAAATAAAACCTTAGAATCCATATTTTTATTTTCAATTAGAACAACATAATAAATGAATCTTACGATAAATCAAAATATACCTTCTAATAAAGACTGGAGACATTATTTGAATCTTCAAGAAAATAAAAACAAATAAATACGGAAGCATGAGTTGTACCAGCAGAAACCTTACCGCTGGTTTCAGTTCGAAAAAATGGTACTAATAGTGGTATGGTTTCTGAACTTTAACACCATTTATAAAAAAAAAAAAAGAAGAAGAAGAAGAAGAAAGAATTTAACTCCATTCAACACATCCTTTTACATTAATAATTTTATTGGTTAACAAACCTTAAATACGAGATCTTGTGATGACATTAATTTAGGGTTCAGATTTGATATTTTCTACAGTTAGAAAGTCAAAGAGATTCTAAGCAGCAGTTTAGGAGTTTAGGAAAAATGGTGCCTACATTAGACAAATGATGGACTCTTCTTTTTTTTCTTTTTTTTCTTTTCTAAATCAAAGAACAGGTGGTACTTAGGACTGGCAGGGATGATAACCGATTTATTGATAGAAAAAAATAAATGAGCAGTGCTTAAGATTTACTGGGAGAAGATACATAGAAAGCACAAATAGAGAGAAAAAAAAAAGGGAAGATCATACATTTCTTTTTGCCAGCGATATTGGTGGTGCATTTTCTAGCTGCAAAGCAAAAATATGTTTATAGTTTTCAAATTACAACATCATCAAACACTTTTCAATTCGTTATTTCTCATCTCGCTCATCCTCTCCCTTTTTTCTTATCCTTATTTCATTAATCCACTATGACATAATCAGAGATCTTTCCTAAAGTTTGCTGGAGAGGACAATGAGTTCTCCTCTTGCTTGCCGATGTTGTCTTTCCTATATTGTCGATTTCGGAGATTGAATTGCATGGCCCGCAAGGATGGAAAAGCCAAAAGGTAAGAGAAAAATATTTGAGAATTAATATAAATTCATTTGTTCTGATTTTGAAGACGGATTTTTTATTTTTAATTTTTTTGGTTAGGATGCCTCTCTTCTAATTTAAATTAGCACTTCAAAGGACTGAAATTTTAATTTGTAACTGCTATTTTCACTCCGAAGCATATTTTTTTACATTGGTGTCAAAAGTTTATTAGAAGAAGAACCATTGGAATTCGGCATAAAGAATGTTGATGAATTTTGGTGAGGACTGAGAAAATTTCAAGGATATGATCACTGCATTCTCGGCTAATAATCCAGTCTAAATTTATTCTTTCCCAATCTTCAACATCAAGAAAGGATACTACGTGGAGCCGAATTTTAAAGGTTAAAAATATGAGGCTGCAATTAATTCTAAAAAAATCCTTGAGGACAAAAGGCTAGCTATATGCTTTTTTGGCATGATAATTGGTATGAAATTAGAGTATTTTTTATATTTTTTTTTATAGATCAAGTAAAAAAGACCATAACGAATTGCATCAAATTACCACATTCCACAGGTAACGCTTACAAAAGAATGACAAAAAATGACTGATTGAGCATAACCCTCGTCCAATGACTCTTCAAAGATACTAAATCATTTGCCACGAAATTAAATTCTCAAATGTATCCTTTGCTTCTACTACCCAATCCGTAAGGAATCTCTTAAATTGAGCGAAAAGTTTCTGACACTAAGAGTACGCACTATTGACTGCTCTAACTTTTTTTTTAAAAAAAAAAAAACTACATCTTGCATATTGATTTATAAATGTAGGGAATATTTCAACTTAAATGAGAAGAGTTTTTTTTTTTTTAAACAAAAAAAAAATTAATTTAAACCTAAATATCCAGTGTTTAAGTTGTTGGGACTTGGGACGTCTCATCCCTAGCGGCCTTTGGCTCACATATTGAAAGCGATTGTAACAAGCTTCCGATTGATGAAATAGTATTTTGCTTTATAATCTAACAAATTGAGAAAATTCAAAAACTGATTCAGAATCAACACCTACCAAGTACCAACAACTGAAAAATCAACCTGTCATAAAACAAACATCAAAGTTTAACCCCTTAAACATGAAGTTTGATCATGCATATGAAAAAAAAAAAAAAAAAAACTCCTTTATTTTTCTTTTCGATGGACCCTCAACGTTCAACAACGGAAATGAGCTTTTGCACTGTGATTGCATGCGATGTCTGACCAAAAAACCTAAGTTGATCCTCTCATTTTCATTTCCCGGAAATATCGAATCCCGCAAGCATTGCAAAGTGTCTGAAATGTCGATTGTACGGGAAAAGAAAGAATTAATAAAGTGTTCAAATCAAGATTTACACAAAACCATATAATTTCAAAACAAAAAATATCTTCTGAGTAGAATCAATATTGTGATCCTGATCATTAAAAGAATGTCATAACTCATAAGGATCTAAATTAAATTTTTCTAGTCATTTTTTCAAAAAGAGAATTTCATAAAAACATGTTTGGACTCAAGCTAGCGTTAACTGGTGCCACATGACCAACATCAATTAATTGTATCAAAATGCTATATAAGTTAAAATTAATTGATTTGCAGGCAAAGATAAATGGTTAGACACTTACCTTGGGACCATTTGGTCCTTTTCTCCAAATTGGAGTATCTTCCTTCCCACATTCATGGCAACGTTTGAGAGTTGATCCCACATGGTTATTCATTCCCAGCTGCACTGGGGGTGCAGCAACATGATCAGGAGGAGGAATATTGACATCTTGAATTTTTGGTTCATCCAATTTGTCATTTGGGTTCATCGAACTCCCACTGGCCTATTGATCAGAAGATAAGGCGTTAGAACTAAGAATGAAAATCCTTTTTTTTTATTTTTTTGAAATAAAATAAGAATGAAAAATCTAGGTGTAAACAAATGCATGCCAATAAATATTTGTCAGTACTTGATCGTATTATAAGATTTGATTTTGACCATCGTGTGCATAACATCTACGGGTATAATTATTGCATTTGATTTGGTTAATGAACAACAATGAATAGGAATCGTATATTAAATTATATACAGTAAGAAATGAACTAGCATAACTTACAATCAATTTTCTTACCAGTGTCGAGTTTTGCAAAATTATGATCAAGGAAATCAATTGTTCAACTTTCAATGTAAAATAAACATAAATTGAGTTTACTGTATACAGTTCACGACTCTTTCCTAAAGTTTGACATTCAGGAAGACAAAATCGGTTTGATTTATTTTTTCAGGATTTGTCGGTTAGTTTGCCATATCCTCTTTTTATCTTTTAGAAAAATTCACTGTATTACGGCAATCTCTCTCTGTCCACAGATCCTAATATATTTACCAATTTGCCGTCAAAAGGTTTATGATTTATTCATGAACATGAAATGAATAAGATCTAGAGGACATTCATAGTTTACTCCTAGATTTAAGTTTGAGAGAAAACAATCTTGAATTAAAAATTAAAACGTCAAAAATCGATTGAAACCTAAGATTGATTAATAAACATTTGATCGAAACCAAAAAAGGGAACTAAAAAAATAATCAGAAAAGGAACAAAAGATTGAGAAAAAATAGAAAAGAAAATCATGACTCTCCTTTTTAATTTCCATTGATCCCTCGACCCCAATCACATCTAAAAGTTCTATGGAGGAATCAGCTGGAAGAGAAGTAATATCAAATTACCCCTTTTGGGCACAACCAACTAATCAGAACATGCAATCTACAATTCATGAACACTTTATTTCACTTTCCAGGAACCAATTAATTCACAAATAGATCACAACCCATCACATAGATACCGGATTAATTAATTAGGAGAAAAGAAAAATTCCATCAACATCAATGCTCACATTGTCTAGATTTTTGAGATTATCGTATTGCGGTAACCTCAATCGGAGCGTTAAATCCATATCATCACGAACCCGATCACCTGAAGCCGGTATATTTGAAGGATCGGCCATTTTTCTCTTTGATTGGAAATATACTGGATCGACTAAAACACCACAGAATGAGCCAAAAAGAGAGACAAAAAAAATTTTAAAAAAAGTATTAGTTCCTCACAGGAAATCACGAATTAGTAAGTTCTTCAACTTCTTACAAAAATATCATATTCCAAATAGAGTAGTATAATATACGATTTAAATGACAGTGATTATGTTTAACTTGATAGAGAGAGGGGTCAAATTCAGTTGTAAAAAATAGAGATCACTTACTGAATTGATTGGTGTTAAAGATTTCAATCGGTAGTATCTATAGGGCTATCAAAGGGAACTTCATCACAAAAAAATTGCCGTCACATAATCTGATCAGAGTTCACGAAATATGATCACAACAGTGACAATTGTACAATGTGAATAAACAAAATGCATTTTTCTCTGTTCATTTGAATTTCATCTCCATTAATAAAGCTTTTTTTTTTTTTACTTTCTCCCTAACCAGTGATTTATTATAGTCATTTTTCTGTAAAGGACCGATACTCATTTATGAAGTTATTCATGATCATTTAATTTTCGGCTCCAACAACCACCCACATTGGTTGAACCACTTTTGGTGTTGCCTCCTCTATATATTGATTGATATTCATTCACTCCAAAACTCATAGACTATCTTATTTTCTTTACCTCGTGGGTTCAAGACCTTAATAATCCGTTTATTATTTTGAGTTATTGCTAAAAAACAAAATAATTAAAGATTTAGCATCAACTAAAAGCATGACGTTGAGGACATATACTGGTTTATGTTCGAGCGATATCAGGAGGGGATTCTTTTAGCTCCTTGGTAACACCCGGATTTATGAATACCACGTTATATATTCGTATTCTGATCCTTTTATGGAAGTTTGTATACTGAAATTGAAATATTTTAAAGGTTCTTGCTGATTTAATTTAAAGCTAACCTTAGTGTTGTTTCCTCACTTCAGCTCGGTTCCTAAGTCGAAGGCTTGCTCGACTCGGTGTTTTAGCTTTCTAGAATTCCTTCCTACAGGTAAGAAACATACTTAATTTTTATATGTTAGCTAGGTTGTCTTTTAAAGTTAATTAGTAGTGAAGTAATGTGTAGTAACTTTGTGTTTATTTGAAAGACTATGTTATATATATATCGTCGTGAGTAAGATGTAATAATATAGTGAAAAATATATGAGCTTTCTCTGGGCCAGTAGAGGGCTCTCGTGTTGTTTCATTGTATTGTCTTTGATCGGGCATTCCTAAAACTGTTTGTTTCTATCAGATTTCTCTCAGGTTGGAGAGAGTTTTTTTATAACGAAGGGATGCCGAAATTCCTCAGCCGCATCAAACAAGTACTTGACTCCATGGAATATTAGGGTAACACCGGGTTTTTTTCTTCTTTTTTTTTTTGTGTATTTTTTCATGATCTAACTAGGGGTGCGTTGAGACCATACACCGTACTCCTGTATATAGTATACAGAGTGAATTTCTGCCCAATAAACACGGTTTGAGATTAATTTATTGTTTATTGTATTTAGCTTAAAAAGCGATAACTCTCCTGACAATCTATCTATCTTGTCATCGACGTCAATCTCCTGTCGGCTTAGAGAGAGATCCGAGATCGATCAGATCTATTTTGTTATTGACGTCAATTTCCTCTCGTCTTTACTATCAAACTTGCATCGATGTTTCTAGATATTCAGTTTTTATTTTTGGTACAATATAAATTAAAAAAAAAATAAAAATTCAAACTGGATATATAATCATTTCGGGACACGAGAAGTACTATCTTTCTGGCCATCTGAATTCGGTTCCCAGCTTCATGAATTTTGACATCGTATTCTTTTCTGACATCTTCCAAATTGTGCAACACTAAAAGGGGATAACAAAAAGCTTGATTCATTAAAATAGCTTATGCATTAAGAGAAAATTCAATCGGTATTCGAACAATCTCTTTTGACGAATATTAATCCAAAAAACATTGTCGCAGGTTTTCATTTCATAATTTGATGCGAAATGAAACCCTTTGGTTAATTAGTTATGATGCAAATCCGATTCTCCGGTTGCAGAAGTTTTATGGTTTGTCAAGTCTGGGTGGAAACATAAGCCAAAACAGAAAACTACAAGAGTGATTTTGTAGTAAAAATATTAGTACTACTAAAGATTGTTCATTAGAACAGTAGTAGTAATAAAATGGTCTCATAAATCAATTTTCGGTGAGCGAGTACGCGAATTAACTAGATTCGATCGTCCATGGCGGACGTGTTCGTAGTATTCATGATCTTCTGCATAGACCATGGTGTGGCATATTTATCATGAGGCTAATTTTGCTGCAGATTGTCTGGCAACTGCTGCTTGAAATCTATTACCACTTTCCATATAGTTTGGACCGACTGAACAATGCATTAAAGTCCACATGTATATCTGTGTTCTTGAAATCTATTACCACTTTCCATATAGTTTGGATTTACTTTCCCTCTTATAAGCGTACTCATTTACTAGTTAGATTTAAGTACCTGATCAAAAAAAAGCAGTTCAAATCCGCCCTGTACACTGGCTCGAGATTTCGAAATTGAAGTCTTCTGTTGATCATTTTAAGTCTCAGCTCAATTAATAGAGCTCTTACTTCTACCATATCAATGAACTTTCTGTAAAGAACAAATATTAGTTAGAAAGTTAACTCGTGACATTAAATTCTCTCATTCGAAAAACTACCAATATTTAACAAATATTAGTTAGATATTTTGCTATTCATCCACTCCAAAACTTATATAGTGTCTTTTTCTCTTCACCTCATCTTTAATTTTCTCCCATGAATTCGGTTCAAGATCTTAAGTTATTGATATAAAAGTTTAATCGATTTAACACCAACTCTAAACTACACGACGTAGGTTGAGGAACCATGTTGGGCTTAAGTACGAGCAATATCTGGCTAGGAGTCTTTCAAATTCTTCGTTACTTTGGGCTTTTTCTATTCCACTGTATACCTTTACTTCTATTTAGTTAGAAGTATGTATGTAGGCTAATATTGAAACCTTTTCCAAGTTTTACTGGTTTAAAATCTAACCTTACTGTTGTTTCACTTCAGCTAGGTTCCAAAATTGGAGGGCTGAGCACTCGAACCGTTGCTGAAGGTAAGAAACATTTTTTCACATATTACGTATCTTTTATATAAGTAAGCTATGAAGTTTTGTGAGTTTGTTTATCAAGTAACTTTCCTTTTTTGTCTGAGGAAAATACTTTAGACAAATGTTTTCCAATCGATTTTTCACATGAGACTTCTATTTCTCTTGTGATTTTTGCTATTTATGTGGTTGGCTTAGTTTTTTTAAGAAAAAAATAGAAAAAGAAAAGAAAAGGAAGAAGAGAGGAAGAGATGGTGAAATGAAATGCAACATGGTTAATTGGTCTTCTATTGGAAAGATTAATTTGATGTCAATTCATTGTATTGTTTGTTAATCTGCGCATTCCTAAAAGTATGGTTTCTCTTAATTTGTTCAGAATGATGGGAGTTTTTCACATTAATGAGGAGTTCTTATGGTCAATCCATTGCATCACAACATCAAGTCTTCCGATCTCTTGAACATTATGATGCGTGCGTAAGGGCTAAAAGAGTGCTCTTGTCGATCTCTAACTAGATCCCTCGAACAGCTCGATCGGAGCCTGTTGATGGAGCTTTTGAGAGAAGTTTTTACTCCTACATCCTAATTTATAATTTTTAACTTTGACAGTTAAGCTTTTATATACATCTTAACTCTGAAATATTGAAAGATATGTTGACCACTAAGGCAACCTCTACTGCCACCGATGACATTAATTACCGTAATTCTAGATAGATATTTTAATGGTACGAGTTCTTTTTTTTCTTTGAATATAATAAGCTTTACTTGAAGGTAAATATATATATATATAGGGAAATTCTAGAGTCCAGTTGTTAGTTTTTTACTGAACTATTTAGTTAAAATCTAGCAAATCAAAATATGACATATCACACTTATTATAGGGTGAGAAACATCTTACAAATCCAGAATAATGCTTTGACCAGGTGAGTAGGTAATTTTTCTTTTTGGCCAATATCATATTATTTACCTTTTCCGTTTCTGCTTGCAATATTTTTTATTAGAAAAATTCAATCTCCTCCTTCATTTACACCATGGATGGCGTCAATGAGTTCCAAATATTACAAGAAAAAAGAGATTTTAGAACCCTTCACCGTGCCCTCCAATGGCCAATAAAAGTTTGAATTGCACAAACTATCTCTATGTTAATTATACAACCTAGAAATGATCTAACTTTTATAATTACATTAACTGTTTTAATAATTTCCAGACTTGTCAGCCATAAATTTACATATTTTCTCAAATGCGCCCTCACTTCAATAATTGATTTTTACTTAAGCCGTTCCTTCATTTGGTTTTCTTTCTGTATTTACCACAAAATTTATTTGAGAAGAATGCTTCAGATTTAAGATCTATGCATGAATTTTGAAATAGAAATTGATATCTCGTACCAATCTTTAATTGGGAATCACTGCTAGGTTCTAGTATTAAGAAGTGTTTCCAGGGGTTCTAAATTGAGAGAAAGAGGTTTTTCTTTTTTCGGCCAGAACACTACCTCCAGGGCCAAATATTATTTTGGGTGTCTTGGTGTTGTTGATGAAAAAAAAAACAGAGAATAGATTATAGGGATCCCTAGATTATATGGGTAGTGTTGGGAATTGGGAATGACAATTGCAGAATCTGGTCTAGTCTTCATCAGAATTAAAGATAAACTTAATTTTTCAGATTGTTAAAATAAATCTACAGAGGAAAGGGGGTTGTTAAGGTTGGGTAACATTATTATGTTGATCAAGTAAAGAAAATTACCCTTATTAATGTAATTCGATTTAGGGTTTAGGGTTTAAGATTTAGGGTTAGGTTACAGGTCACATTGAAATAATCAAGTGCAATTGGTAGTAATTTTTTACAATGCACCTTTGTTTTAATCTAATGGTTGCTAATTATTCCTCATCATCCAACCGTATCGTTCAATCAACTGAACTGTAGCCGCTCCCATATATATATATATATATATATATATAGCTTCAAACAAAAGCTACATATAGGCTAATTTAAATACTCCTTCGATCCCAAAATGATTGTCAATTTCAGATTTTTCACTTTTACCATAATTTAAACTAAAAATGAAAATGCAAACTAGACAATAATTTTAGGACGAAAGGAATATAATAATATAAGACTAAGCATAAAATGTTGGCTAATTTGAAAATGAAAAGTGGACTATTGAGATGCAAAACAATTGTTAAAAGTTAAATGTAAAGTTAAAACTTTGCCGATGATTTATCAATTAGGAGGCGATTTTGCCACAACAATTTCTAACATCCAGGGCATATTTTTCTATTTTTTTATATCTACCCCTCCTGAAGTCAACCCCCTCATCTTCCCCACTCCCACATCTCTCGTTTACTCCCTCAATCATATGAATTTTTAATTTTTTTTTCTCTCTCTCTCTCCTACCCCGGCTCTCCCATGGCTTGCTGTGACTGTGAGTAGCTTTTGAAATCAACAACTGATCCATTTATGGGTTGCCGACTACAATTCATGTCAAAAGGATTTCCTAGGAACCTAGTCAGTGTAAGTTGGAATTTAGCCCTTTTATTTTACTTTCAAATTGTAACTCACCTCTTCTTGTCAAGGCTAGTTTTAGAGTATTCCAAGAAATTCTTTTGTTGGTCGGATTTCGCCCTTTGTATCTGCTTAACTTTCTGTGAAGGTGAGTTTTAAATTTATAGTCTCAGACTCTAACACTAGAATTTTTTTATTACAGCAGTGACTGAGCCTTTGTGCTATTATTATGCGAATTTCATTGGATCAAATTTGTGCAATGTAATTGTTTCTACAGAGCCATTAATTCTATCCAATTAATAAAAGGCCCACGAAGAAGAATTAACAGGGCTGTTTGGGGTTCCTTGAACATGGCAATAATAAGTGCTACTGCAGATTCTATTGTTCGTATACATGATTCAGAGGTATCTAATCAATTTTAATATATTTACCCTTTACAAGTGCTGTTTGGAGAGGTTTTCAAATGTTTTGTTTTAATGTTATGAGTTTATAGTTAGATCAGGTGTCTGTCCAAGCATATTGTTCTGGATGATTTGGTTAATTATCTGAAAACTTTTTGTTATATAAACTGGCAAATTACTGGAAGAGTCGGGCAAGAAACTGGCCACAAAAAAATTGTTTCATCACTTGAAAAATGCATTGATGGTTCACATTTCATCACTGGTTTTGGAGTCAATGATAACACTGCAATGTGAGAGAAACCTCAAAAGAGGAAGGAAATTAATTGAGGGAGAGATGTGGGAGAAAGGAGTTCGAGAGAGAGGAAGATAAGGAGATTGATTTCAGGAGTGGCAAATATGGAAAAAAGAAAAAAATATGCCCTGAATGCTAGAAATTGTTGTGGCAAAATCGTCTCCTTTATCAATTCGGTTTAATCCCTTTTGACAATTGAAATGTAAAAAAAAAAAAACTCAAAGTTCGAAACTTTCATTTTGATATTTGACACATCGAAACATTTCCTGTCTAAGACAAGAAGGCCCTAGGTATGGCTTGGTAAGCTTCCCATATATTCTCCCCGTCCTTTAATTAATTATGATTCACTTTTAATTTTTATTTTTCGCTCAAATTGTATCAAAAGTAAACTTTCAAATTGGATATTTTGAGATGGAGGGAGTATATCACTCATAGGAGACGGCATTTACTTCACAATAAATACATTTAATCCGGCCGAAAATAAATGGGAAAGATTCGAGATCATAGAGTATATACTTCCACCGCCACAGATAATTTTTTTAAAATGCTAATACGTGCTTTAAATTCATGTTCTACCTCAAAAAAGGATAAATAGGTTTTTTTTTTTTGCCAGACATATTGTGAGGGTATTATAATTGTATAAATTAGCCAAAAAAAAAAAAAAGTCATCTTAATGGAACTTGTGATTGTGAATCATTTAGGGGAAGAAAATCATAATTCAGGAATACATTGAACCTAAGAAATAAAATCAATAATGACTGAACCAACGTGGATTCGTCAATGTTGTCCTTGTCATAGACAGATACTGAGAGTGATGGTATTAAACAACCAGATTTATGAAATAGTATGTATATATGTAATATAAAATCCAACAAATTCGAATAATTAAAAAAATGGATTCAAAATCATCAACGTCTACCAACAATCTAAAAATCAAACAGTCTTAAAATAAACAAACACAAGGACTCCTTCGGAGCCCTCAGAGTCCAACAACATAGGTGGGCTTTTGTAACGTGATTAGATCTGCATGGGGGTCCTAAGTTGATTTTCTCATTTTCATGGCCCTAGCATAACGAAGTCCGCAAGCATTGCAAAGTGTCTGCAACGTAAAATGAAGCCAAACAATTTCAAAAAATTAGAAAAAAAAATAAAAATAGAATCAAGTATATGTATTTCCTTTTTTTTTCTTTTTCTTATTAAAAGAGAAATTTCATTAGGCATGTTAAAAATCACCAAAAAAAAAGGGAAAAAAAAAAAAAAAACTCCGCGGCGAGATCCAAGCCATAACAAGATGAAAAATACACTCACTTGGCGTCCATTTGGTCCTTTTCTCCATAGTGGAGTTTCTTCATTCCCACATTCATGGCAAGCTTTGAGATTTAATCTCACATGGTTACTAATTCCCAATAATGTGGTGGCAGCGACTTGATCATTTGGAGGATTATTAACTCTAACATTCTGATGGAGATGAATTAGAATCTCGGAAGCCACAACAGTGTTGGAAGAACTTCCATCTTCAATATCTTCAATTCTTGGTGTTGCTCTCAATTTGTCATTTGGGTTCGTCGAACTTTTTCCTTTGACCTAATCAAGAAATAATTAACGTCATTAACACACTTTAATTCAAGAATTAATGCATGATAGTACTAGTATATTCATGGAATTAGGGATTGTATTGTGATATGCACTTTATTCAAAATTTACTAGCTATAAGTTCACTTTACTCAAGGAAAAAAGATTTAGAAAGCTAGCCCGACTCCTATGAAAACCCTAATTAAGTATGTTAATCACTTACGAGAGGTATTTTCAAATGTCTGATTAAGTATGTTATAAGATTGCATTTTAATTACCAAGAGCGCGAGATTTACATCTGAATATGATTAATGGTTTCAATCAGTGCCCGTTACCGAATAATTGACAGCAATAAAATCATACCCAAAGTTAGAAAATAATTAACTCATATCATATTCATTTTCTTACCATGGAAAGCACGTTCATGGATTTTATTACATATAATCTGATAACTGCTTCAATTCGTTTGATTTGTACATTAGCAATTCATGTTTTCAACCTATGCATTAACACAAAAATAATCTCTCTCTCTCTCTCTCTCTCTCTCTCTCTCTCTCTCTCTCTCTCTCTCTCTCTCTCTCTCTCTCTCTCACACACACACACACACACACACATACTATATATGTACCATGTCTTCGGTATAAAAAAAAATAAAATAAAATCATCCATATCAATTAATCCCTTTACGATCAAAATTACATTTTTGCCCTCAAAATTCAAGTGGGTACATAATGACAGAAGAATTACTGAACATTTCATAATGTAATAATGTCTTTAAGACTGATTCATACATTTACTCGAATCAATTTCCGGTTCAAACAAACATTCGTTAGTTGACCTTTCTTTTTTATACGTACCCATATTGACTGGAGGACAAACGATCATGATCTGAAACCATATCTCTAATTTCAAAAAAGATTAAATTAGTTCAAATACATCAAATTTCGGTTTCCAGTTTCCATTTTATACAAATAAATTCAAGATCTTTTTAATTTTATGTCACAATATATTATCAACTCATAAATAACAAACACTATCAAATTATCCCATCCTAGATTCACAAACAAATTGGATACCAAGATTATTTAAATTCAAGTCAAAAGAAGTACTTACATTTTGGTTATTTATCATACTGTTGTAATATGGCGACGCTCCTAACCTGAGTGTCAAGTCAACGCCACCATCCAGATTACCATATGTCAACGACTTTGATAAATTATCCATTCTTTTTCTAAAGATTTATGTCCCCTACACTCAAAACACGAAGAAATAACCACCAAAAAATATGCAAAGAAATAACCACCCACCCAAAAAAAAAAAAAAAAACCGCTATCAAAAAAGAGTATTGAAATTTTGTCATGTGGTTGACAAGCAGCAGTTTATATAGAATCCTTCAAATTATTTTCATAAGGTTTCATTTAGTAAGTTAGTATTAGTGGCTACTTTATAAGTAATTAATTGAAGAAAATATTGATCTATTTAAAATGTAATTCTTAAAAATCTAAATTGATGTCACCAACTCATTTCCCATCTAGGCAGAAAAATATACATGTAGAGGGTTCATGAATTTCATTAAGGTCGTCATATTTGTAAAAGAATAAGTTAATTGTATTTAGATTCACTGATTATAACAATCGTACCAACCAGGTTACTTAATTAAGCCACGATCCTGGTACTTCCTCTGATACTCGTATCGCTTTAATATTGATACCTTGATCAAATGAATTATCGAGCTTTAGTCACTAAAATGCACATAATTTTTTATTGTATTAATATTGTAGTTTAAATTTTCTGAAATAATGTATGGTTGTACGTACAGCTAGTAGACACATATATAGTTATTTGATCATTCAATGTTGGAAGTTTAAAGGCAGCAAGAAAAAAAAAAATAAAGACCGCCATTGACTAAAATTTACCTTCTAATTTTACCCTCATATTCTAAATTTCAAATTCAAATTTTAAAACTTTAAACTTTAACCCTATACTCCAATCTTCAACTCCAAACACTAATATCCAATTTTCAATCTTCCTAGACTTCAAATCGATGGCTGGAGAAAATCGCCTTTGCGAAAAATCAAATTAAAGAGTTTACTATGTCTTTTGATAAATAAAAATCTCAACGTTCCACTTTAATAATCGATATAGTTGTACTATATTAATTTAACAAAGCTAATTATTTTCAAAATGAATAGAGTAATTTTTTTGTTTATACATATTTGATGATATACAATTTCCCTCCTATTTTCTAAATGCTTTGTGGTAAAAAACCGATTACATCCGAAAAGTGGCCGGCCGACCGGCCTGACGTCCCAGAAAGAAAATGAAGGCATGGCGACCATCCACCTTTAAACAAGACGGCACGGTCGCTGTCTTGTTATTACCTGGCCGCCGGCCAGGCCTTTTTCTTTTCTTTTTGAATAATTTTTATTTTAATTATTTATTGTTGTTTAATTAATTTTTTTCTTTTAGTTCAGTAATTTATTTTATTTAGTATATTTTGTTGTTTTTGAATTTAGTTTTTAATTTATTACGAAATATAGATGGTTAGTGAATAACTTAATAATTAATTATTATATAATCTATATACTTACTAATATATTTCGTAATTTATTAGTAATTTTTTTCTTTTAGTTCAGTAATTTATTTTATTTAGTATATTTTGTTGTTTTTGAATTTAGTTTTTAATTTATTACGAAATATAGATGGTTAGTGAATAACTTAATAATTAATTATTATATAATCTATATACTTACTAATATATTTCGTAATTTATTAGTAAATCAATTGAAGAAGTGAAATAAAATTAATAAAATACAATTATAAAAAAATTAAAAAAATTCCGGGCCGCGGAAAATGCCGACCCAAAGTACAAAAGCCAAGAAATCTGGCAATACCACCGGCCTCTTTCATTGTCGCATATGGCCACCATATTAAACGGCCCTTCTCATGTCGCCCGACGGAATAACCGTCCCAAAAGGCACAGAACGCTGAGAACAGCGTTAAGCTATACTGGGACGCCATGCTTGCCTTCCAAGCTTACCCGGGACGGTATTTTCGGCGGCCGAATACTTATTTTTTTAATTTTTTCTTTTAATTGATTAATATTGTTAATGTCTTAATTAATTTTTATTATTATTAATTAAATTATTAAATAAATTGTGGTGAAATTAAGTTAGTTATTATCAAAATAATTTTTTATTAATTAATGTCATATGTTTTATAATTGTTTAGTAAAATTAGTGAATTAAAATATATTGAATAAAATATTTTTTATATGAAACAGTAATTAAGTTAGTTAATATATGACTAATAATTAAGTTAATTAATAATTATAGATTCTGAATCGTTTATTTTAGAATGAAAAAATAAAAAGGGAATAATTGTCTTTTTTACGGCGGTCTTTATCTTTTTCCTAACAAACTTTAACATGACTCTAAAATGTAACCGTTGTCAAATATATTTCCTGAAGGATTTGAAATGTTATTAAAATATTACTAATCAAGTAGATCATTCATTTTTTTTTAGGAAAAAAAAAAGGCTTCACATTCAAATACTTAAGGAAAAAGAAAAGGTTTGAAATTCAAATACTTAAAGTTCTCAAAATAAATATGGTGAAAGAAATCATTCTACATGTTAAAAAAAAAAAAACACTATTCTATTAATTCTTTGGAATTACTACTATGCTAAATTCAACACATTGGCATTCGACACATAACAGAGTTGATTCCAAGATTGAAGGTCGTAATTAGATGTGTACCAAGAAGTGATCAACTAACTGTGACAAATAACCTTACTAGAATGGCAAGCAAAACAAGAATCTCAATGCACTACAGCAACGCATCCAAGTCTAGTTGTCTTGGATTAAATAAATTTTCCTTATGTAAGGGTTAAGTAGTGTCTTTTGGATTGCCGTTACTATGCATCTTTGTTTGTGACCTTCAAAATCAAAATGATAAAATCATACGTTCGTGTAACATAAGAGAAAATTTAAAATATTATAAATCCTAAATCTAGCTCAGAATTTAAAAGAATTAAGAAAAAAACTCGATTTAGTAATATCGTAAGTATTATAGATATGAATCAAGAGTCATTGTCCATTATTACATCACCAATGACAATGATTACATATGTCACTATTACATCACTATGACGTATTAAAAATGCCATCAATAGTGAACATGTTTGCATTAACAAAAATAATATCAACATTTTCTAAAGTCCATTTTTCACATCTATAGTACTTAATTAAAGAAGCAAATAAAAAGGACATGTGTCAGCACCATAATAAAAATTTTCCCGCCAAAAGCCATTTTAAGTACAAAATCATTTTTGACACGTGGCACTCTAATTAATCAGAAAAAAAAATGGAATAAATAAATACATAAATCCCTTAATTATAGCTACATAAAAATATCTTAATTATATGTATATACTAATCCTTTAAAATAACAATATTTAGTTGATAAAATCAAATACTAGGAAATCCCCTTAAATCAAGTGAAACACCAGTAATGTCTTCCCAATCTCCAATTTCAAAGAATTTCTTCCATTCCGCTCCTCTCTCACACCCGGACCTTTAAATCAATTACTTAAAATCTTACATCAATTATCAATACATCTCTTTATACAACAGAGAAAAAATAAGCTGTCACGAAAGAAATTTGATTTTTTAAGGATAATTTTTTTTTTATTCTTCTGTTGTAGATATTGGTTTATGATTTATGTAAATTCGGGCATAAGTTAACTATTATAAATTAAATATTGTAAATCTGGGCATAGATTTATGTGTAATAGCTCACTTTCTGTCCTTTAAATTGATTTTTTATTCTTCTAATTTTTTTTATTCTTTTAAGAATGATTCGTATTTTTTATTTAATCAATTTAAAAATACACGCGACACCCCGGGAATTCGCCCCGGGCAAGCATCTAGTATTGATTATTAACCGCTCCCTGCCAAAAGTTGGAAGAAAATTATTCTATTGACATCTAATAAAACAAATTTTTTCTAAACACAAAATTTACCAAATTGTACCAAATTAATCAGATGTGACACTAGGACTAAAAGCAAAATCGTAATAGAAACCATCTTAATCAGTGATGTGCTTAAATTTTATCTATTTATAATATCCTTAATTTGAGATTTTGTCATATATTTTGAGTATATTTCCACCATTTACGTGATTTTATTTTTTTTTATAGGAAAAGAACTCAAATAGAGAACTCACGTATTCGGGTTTGCTTTAGTTTGTAGGATCAGTGTTGTGGAAGAGAAAAATTGTTTAAATCATGGATTTAGAGGGAATTTTTTCATTAATTGCAAAAAATGGGGAAATCACCATAGAATTTCAACCTTAAAGCACAAGGGAGATAAGGAAGCAAAGTATTTTTCTTCCCTGAGGGAAATCAAGATCATAACGGACAGGAAGTTATTAACAACTTCCGCATACAACACATTTACAGAGAAATCAACAGTCTAGCTGATGGATTATCAAAGTTGGCATCTCACGGTAGCACTATAAAATACAACAATTTTGTAGAGTTACCCGAGAGCGTTGCGCGGCATCTTTTGGATAAACACCCTTGGGGAAATGCCCGGACAGGTACCGTCCTAGTTAACCTAAAAAAAAGAAAAAAGATAAAGGAAGCAATGGCGAGAGTTATTCTTTCCTAAAGGCCAAAATTTAAAAAAGCATGCTTATCGACGGCTTGAAGGTCGTTTAGATGGAAAATGGCACGATCCGATATTAGATTGCAGTTTTAGCAAAATCATGATTGCATTGATTAGTTCAACATTAATGGCATAGTTTAGATATGATTAGGGATTATCCATATCTTTTATGATTTTTGCAAGAATTTATTATAAATGCTTGTAATGATTAAGCGGGAGAATCATTCTTAACTACTATGCTTCTGTAATCCATCATTTCCTCTTCATCTTAAATTCCCTCCAACTACAATGATTTTCAAGTAACTCCAAAATTACCTTTGATGCCTGACAAGTTAGTATCAGAGTGATCCTCGTCTTTGAGAAATCTTGAATCATGGCACAAACTCATTCCTAGAAAAATCTTGAAGAACATATCAGGCGTCAAGATTAATGACTCACCGACGTCACACTAAATTCTGTCATAGTCTGGCGACCTTTATAATTTGTTCAGAGTCAGAATAAATGAAGTCGTGATTGGATTCCCCTTTTGTTAGCAACGAAAGTAAGATGGACGCCATGAATGCAAAAATGGATTCTGTGCCCAATCAATTGAAAGATACGTTAGCGGCTTTCAGTTCAAAGAACAACGTTCTTCCTATTCTAGCAATGGATAGATTTCGTTTACTGTTTAGGATATTTCATCCAGACAAATCAGCCATAACCATTTCACTGGGAAGCGCGTATGAAATCCAAGGGAATCACGAAGATAGACCAATTAGGGCTCCATTGTATACTCAACCCAAGATCATGACAATAGGTATGAATTGGATGAGACTTTTCAGTCCCATTACATTTAACTTTTATCACATGCAAATCAAATTGAACAAATATGGAAGACAATACTTCAAGGAAGTGGTAACGGGGCTAGTATGCTTCTAGTATGGGATAGAGATTGTTATGCATTCATTCAGGAAAGAAAGAGTTGGTTATTATTCATGCAACTATAGGCATTGAGCAGTTAAATTGTGCTATCAACTATGATGAAAGTACCATTGCCAGCAACTAGTGGCTGACTCTTAGATAAGTATCACATAGTGTTTGGTACTCTTGATTCCTTGCCTCCCAACAAAACAATTGGTCATCAAATTCTATTGAAATTAGGAGCTCAACCTTTCAAGATTCCACCATAAAGGTGGCCTCAAGCTCAAAGCTGAAAGAGAAAAGCAAGTTTCTGAACTCGAATTGGAACAAGAAATTGCTTAGGCTAGTTTGAGTCCATTTGCTTCCCCGGTGACTCTGGTTAAGAAAAAAGATGGAAGTTAGAGAATGTGCATTGATTACAAGAAGCTCAATGATGTGACCATCAAAGACAAATTTTCTATACCCATTATATAATAGAAGAATTATAGGATGAATTGAATGGTGTTACTGTGTTCTCAAAGCAAGATCTTTTTTCATGTCATATCCTGGTGAGTGAAGAATGTGGAAAATTTACTTATTAATAACTGAAAAAAAAAATGAAGAACAAAATATGCTTAGGGTTTAAATTGTGGCCAAAAATAGCTTTCTCGCGCTTCAGAAACGCGAAAAAAATTAAAATCCGCGTTTTGAAAACGCAAAAAACACAAATTCGCATTTTGAAAACGCGAATATATGTTTTTCGCGTTTCAGAAACGCGAAAAAGAAGGAGAATTAATTAATTTAACATAATCCTAATTAATTAACTTGAATCAATGAGATTTCGCGTTTTGAAAACGCGAAATCAGTTAAAAAATAATTTTATTTAATAAAAAAGAAAATAGGCATAAAAATATGATTAATTTGACTAGTTTAAAACGTTATAGGGAAATTGACTTCAAAAAATTATTAAATTTGAATAATGGTAACAGAAAATTTTAAAATTATAACTGTTAATCATTAAATTTTGAATAGAGCTATAAAGAGGAAAATTATATTGATAATTTTAATAATACGAAAATTAAATTTTGAATAAGAATATAATATTATAATTGATACTCATTAAATTAAATAGAGCTATACTAAATATAAATTATTAAAAGTATGATATAGTTATTATAATGTATTAATTTTTTAGAACATTATATAAAAAAATTTAATAATGATTATATTAAAAATTTTATTAAAAATGTAATCATTAATTTAAAAATAATTTTATATGAAAAATTTTCAATAATGATAATGACGTAATTTTATGGATTTAATGAGATGTAATTTAATTTACAAATTATGATGGTTTTAATATAAGAAAAAAGCTTAAAATAGGAATAAATTTTATTAAATATTTATTATAATTTACCAACACTTAAGATAAAGCAACTATTAATTATGAAAAAAAATATAAGAAAGTTTAAATATGTGTTTCGATTTGATCGGCGAAGATGTGTTTTATAAATATTAATTATTGTATTTACGATGCAGGTGAAATCAAACTATTAAGAATATTAATACAAGTCATAACAAAATACTACAAGTCATAACAAAAGGTAAAAAAAAATAAAACAAGTCATAACAAAAGGAAAAAAAACAGAAATGAACAAAAGGGAAAAAAAAATACAAGTCTAATAATACTACATAAGAAGTCTAGTACCCTACTTCTTCTTGGGCTTTTTTTTAGCCCGAAAAAGGCTATAAGTCAATCTATCGGGCTCCTTCATCACTCTCTGGCCTTTACTCACAGCCAACGGTGGAGTCCCTAGAGTCTGACTCGATCCCTGCTCCTCATGGCGCTGATAAACCTGACCCTCAAACTGATCATCCTGGTCAGCATCCTCAGCCTCATCCACATCCTCAGCCTCATCCTCAGCCTCATCCTCACCCTGACTCTCATGCTCACCCTCAGCTGGGTTATCAGCCTGATGCTGACCCGCAACACCCTCGAACATACTCGAAAGAAAGTTACTCGTGTAATGTATCGACTGGCCATCTAGCGAACTCTGCTGAAACCCAGAAAAGTCAATAAAAGAATCTCCAAACTGACGCTGAGAAGTCTGAGGGGAGGAAAACTGAGTGAAGGAAAAATTGGACTGCTGGTGCAGGGGAGACATAATCGGACTGTAAAACGCCTGTTGGGTCGGCGAAGAATGATGTGGAGACTGATGGGATGAATGATGTGGAGACTGATGGGCTGAATGCTGTCGAGAATGGAGTGGAGACTGATGGGATAAACCGCCAGTGAAGGGAATATGAGACTGCTCATGCTGGGAGGACTGATGTGGCTGAGATGATGTGATTGTCTCTTGCCCCCCACGCCCACGCTGAGACCTGCGCGAACGCCTCGGAGGTCTGGGTGGTGGATGTTGCTGGGTCGGGTCTACGGGTGCAAGTTCTTGACTCAAAATGTCATGAACCTCAACATGTCTATCGAGATCGTGACGTACAACATTTGTTGCATTGACGGACAACGCCCGCTCAGCAACCTGGGCAATCTCGCCTAAGCGATCATAACCAAAGGAGTCCGCGTCGAAAGTACGCTGGCCTATAATACTCAGACTACGAACGTCCTCCATCAATGTGGCCTGAAATTTTTATTAGAAAGAATCATAAATCGACAACAGTGTTAATAAAAAGAACCAAATGGACTGTAGGCGAAATACTCACCATGAGGCGCAAGGTCTCTGCAGAACCGTGAAAACCCCTCGCATTTTCAGAGTCCGTCGGATCCGTAACATACTTCACAGTAACCTGATGGTACCACAAGAGATACTCCGGATCTGCAGAAGGCTCGCCAACATAATCATCATCAGTCCCCACAACTTGGCCGTGGCGATCATTCCAAACCTGGAGATATATCCCTAGTTGTTGTAACCATCTCCTATCGGATCCTCCAAACGGCTTCCTCTTGAGCAGGCTAGTAATTTCCGCCGCAGTGAGAAGTAATGTGTCGCCGGGTATCCGCTGGTGATAACCAAATTGGCGAAATACCCTACTGGGGTTGTGTGGCGCAACGACATCACCGCAGATGAGCCATGTCCGAGATCGCCATATGCCCTGTCCCACAAGACAAACCCTGGCAATACGACCCAAAAGAGTCGTGTACGGCATCCATACAAACTGCAATGGTAATTAAGTAAGAGACGTGTAATCAAAAGTTCGACACCGTTAAAAAAACGAATAAAACATAAGTTATACTAATTGAATAGAATACTAACATCGACTCGCGAGAACCGCAAGCCGATCCCGTGACGCGGCCAAATTGAACCGCGTGATACCTTGAACTTTTTCTCGCGGGACCACTCGCACGGAGAAAGTAACATTAAATTGAGACATGACAAGACAAATCAAAATGTCAAAATTTACGAAGGTTTGATGTATAAGATTACCTCGTGCCCAATGGACAATCGATAGATCGAGATCCCCACCCAAGATCTTGGGCTGAACCGTCAAAATCCACTCCCGTGCCCAGAGCTAATTCGAATGAAGAAATCATTAGCTAAAATCACCAATAATAATGGGAGAATATAAAATGAAACTAGAGAGAAATGAAAAGATAAAATACCGAAGAAGAATCACACAACTGGTAATAGCCTTGGCGAAGCGGCGAGATGACTTGGACATGTGCGGTACAAGTAACATAGTGCCGCACTACCCCAACCGTACTCCGAGCAAATCTCGGGAGTATGAAGAAAATGCGAGAAGATCGAGAGGAAAACTGTTTCTCGTAGTATTTGAGAACAAGAATCGCCAACGAGCCATCCAACAAAACAACGGGCTCGCTGTAGGTGTGCATCGTCAGGGGACAGGTCCGTCAAAGGATTATTCTCTATGTGAGTCTTTATTTCAGTGATGGAAACACTCGTCAATCTAGACTCCTCTGTCTGGAACCTAAATCCAAACATCCTCTCCAAATAGGCTGCCCAACCACCATCGGGCGTGGTGTGATGTCCTGAATCGGACGTCCATCAACCCGAAGACCCAAAAGAACCTCGACGTCCCGGAGTGTGATAGTAGCCTCCCAAAAGGTAAATGAAATGTATGGGTCTCTCGGCGCCATCGCTCCACAAGAGCCGTAAGGTGGCATGGTCACATCCGATGGACCCAACTCTAGAGAACGGTCCAAAACCAAATTTCTCAATATATTCCTTTGTCAACCTCGGTGCATCTTTTATTAATTTCCACGCACCGCTATCTACGCGCCTGGGCTCTGAAATCCCTATATCATACTGTGCACCATGGAATATATTGTGTGACCTATGGGCGTTTTGGAGAAACAACAAACTACTGTCTCTGGGTCCCTGCCGTAGCTTCTTTGAGGTAGATTGGGAGGAAGAAGATGATCCAATGTCCATGGCTAGTACAATTTACAAATAGTTTTAGTAAGTACAGATTAATATTATTATTCTTTTTTATTATCCTATACATTAAAAATTCCAACCCTACAGTTTAGTAAATACGGATTAATATTATTATTCTAATCTAATTATCCTATACATTAAAAATTTTAACCCTACATTTTAGTAAATACGGATTAATATTATTATTCTAATGTAATTATTCTTTTATTAAAAATTTTAACCATACATTTTAGTAAATACGGATTAATATTATTATTCTAATCTAATTATCCTATACATTAAAAATTCCAAACCTACATTTTAGTAAATACGGATTAATATTATTATTCTAATCTAATTATCCTATACATTAAAAATTTTAACCCTACATTTTAGTAAATACGGATTAATATTATTATTCTAATGTAATTATTCTTTTATTAAAAATTTTAACCATACATTTTAGTAAATACGGATTAATATTATTATTCTAATCTAATTATCCTATACATTAAAAATTCCAAACCTACATTTTATTATCCAAAACCCATATTCTAAACCCAACCCAATCCCCAACCCAAAACCCACATTCTAAACCCAACCCAAAACTCATATTCTAAACCCAACCCAATCCCCAACCCAAAACCCACATTCTAAACCCAACCCAATCCCCCAAACCCTAAACCCACATTCTAAACCCAACCCAATCCCCCAAACCCTAAACCCTCTAAGCCCAACACCCCACAAACCCTAAGCCCAACCCTAAACCCTAAACCTACCCCCCCCCTCTACTGCATTCCCCGCCGCCCCCCCCCCCTCCCCTTCATTCCGCCGCCGCCCCACCCTCCCCTTCATTCCCCGCCCCCACCCTCCCCTTCATTCCGCCGCCGCCCCCACCCTCCCCGCATTCCCGCCCCCACCCTCCCTTTCATTCCGCCGCCGCCCCCCCCTCCCCGCATTCCCCGCCCCCACCCTCCCCTTCATTCCGCCGCCCCCTCCCATTCATTCCCCCGGAATTTTTTTCACCCAACCCAATCCCGAATTTTTTAAAAAATTCCACAATTACAACACCTATAATACTAGATCTATTAATCGTTCATTAAATCGGGAAATAAAATTACAAATAAAACGAACACAAAATTTATAGGAATCGAAAATTAAAACATGAATTAAAAAAAACGATTAAATCAGAGGAAAAAACACAACTTACCTCAATATATAGCCTACAAAATGCAAAAAATTGATGCCGAAACAATTCCGGCAACTCTCCCGGAAAAACCGCCGGTTTCAATGGATTACGCCGGATATATGGTTCTGTTTGAGAAACATCAACCCGAAATGCAAAAACTTAATTTAAGCACCCATTTTCGCGTTTCTAAAACGCGAAACAACCTATCTTTTATAAAATCGCGTTTCAGAAACGCGGAAATAATGCCCTCCCTATTTTCGCGTTTCAGAAACGCGAGAATAATACTCCCCCTTTTTTTGCATTTCACAAACGCGAGAATAATACTCCCCTTTTTATCGCGTTTCACAAACGCGATCAATTTAAAGTTTTAGTCGTTTAGTCTTTAAGCTGGATATATGGTTATATTAATTTCGGTGATGACAAATAACTAATTTTCTTACCTTTAGTGTTTATCAAATAATTAGTGCTTTATTCGACATGTATATATCCTATAGTAATAATTAGTAATATTACTAAAATGAACTGCGACGTTTCGGTTTTATAAAAACATTACTAATATAAATTACAGAAACATCCAAACCAACACACTAAAACAAATACAAACGCAAACTGAATCATCCTCTGAGGTTTACTACATGAATGTTCAAAACAACACAAAAATATGAACACTAATAGAATAATCACTACGCTTCATCATCATCATCATCAAAATTGATATTAGGCACACCATGAATTCCATATGGATCATACAGTTTATCAATACCGGTCATGTTAGCAGGTGGATGAGAAAAAGGGCATTCGACAGCATCATGATCTAAACTTCCACATCGTGCACAAACTCTCGCATATGGGCAAGCCCTGGCATTATGGCCTTGTAGCTTACATAAACTGCAAGTTTGGAGTCTTCACTGGCCACAGATTTGCTTGTATAATCCATCACACCTTTTTTCCGATTCACACGCTTCCGACCTCGGCCAGCATGGTGGACAAGTTTAGTGTCATCTGGCCTGATCTGCCACGTTGCCTTTGGCCATGGTTCCATGATTGGGTTGAATTCTCCAGAAAACTGTTGGTACCATTGATGCGTAGTGTAACATGGATCAAAAAGCGGGAAGGGATCGTCACCTAGCTCACGGGCAACTCAAAGTGCATGGGAACAAGGAAATCGAAAGTCTGCCACCTTCCGCAAGTGCACTCTCGATTTGCATACAGCACAACTTGCTTCTCGTCAGCCTTCCATGGTTGATTATCAGGTGCTATTGTAACCACTTCGTACTTCTGGTTTCTCTTGCTAAACCGGTTGACCTTTTGCCTCAATGATTTCTTTCGGGCCTCTTCATACAGTTTCATTGGAGTAGGAGGTAGAACAGTTGACATTTTTGGATCATATCAATGTTTGCCTGAAACAGATTGTTGCTTTTCTGAAAGGGTGCTAGGATCAATGCTGTGATCGGGAAGAATCTAGCACCTTTCAGCACATTATTGAAACTCTCTGAGATGTTAGTGGTCATTTCTCCCCAACGATGCCCTCCATCGTGTAAATAGGTCCATTTCTCAACACCCAGCTTCTGAAGCCAACGAGCAGCAGGCTCATTTTTTTCTTCTAATTTTTGCCACTCTGCCAAGAACCTTGTCTTTTGCGTCGCTGAACCAATCATTTGACAGTTGCCTCGCAGTTTCTCCTTTCGAAAATGCCCAACCAAGTTTCCTTTAACATGCTCTAGACAATAACGGTGGACGCCCATCTCTGGGAATTTTTGCAACATGATGTCCATGGCAGTAAGGATACCCTGATTTCGATCAGAGATAATACAGGTCTTCCTATCCTGTAGAACAAACTTTTTCAAATACTTCAAAAACCATTTCCAGCTGTGTATAGTCTCTTCGTCCACAAGAGCAAATGCGATGGAAACAATCGTGCCATTTGCGCACTTTACGCATGCCACAATTAGTTTTCCTTTGTAGGATCCTTGCAGGTGAGTGGCATCGATGGTTATTACTGGCCAACAAGCATGAAATAACTGTATAGATGGCCCAAATGCCCAGA